AAGTTAAGAGACAAGTTAGGAACGCTTGGACTTGAAGTCTTTCGCAGGGCCCCAACCTCCTTGCCAAACTAAATACAACTGTATCACTGTTTCCATATGAAAGTGTAATAGGTTCATTTCTATTATTCAGCTCAGGAGAGAGTTGAATAATAACTCCAAGAAAAAGTCATTATCTTTCTGACCACATCAGTCCAAGTCCAGTTCCACCAAGCCTGACCTGTGGGCTCTCTCAAGCCCCAGTACACACTAGAGTTTCACACTCTGGTCCCTACTGTGAGTTCTTTGGCATTCCCATTGAGTTCTTTTCAGGATATACAGACTCTGCACAGGCAGGCAGGCAGGCTCGCCACTCACAACAGTCCCCCTTTCTTTCTATTCGTTATGTTCTGTCCTAGTCATGAACCAAGAGGCTGCCCACCCCTTTCTGTTTCATCTCTACTCAACCTCCTTTTTTTGATAAGATCACTGTGTTTTTTTTTAAAGATTTATTTATTTTTATTGCAAAGTCAGATATATACAGAAAGCAGCAGAGAAAGGGGAGAAGATCTTCTGTCCTATGATTCACTCCCCAAGTGACCGCAATGGCCGGTGCTGTGCCGATCCAAAGCCAGGAACCAGGAACTTCCTCCAGGTCTCCCATGTGGGTGCAGAAATCCAAGACTTTGGGCCGTTCTCAACTGCTTTCCCAGGCTACAAGCAGGGAGCTGGATTAGAACCGGCACCCATATGGGATTCCGGTGTGTTTAAGAAGAGGACTTTAGCCACTAGGTCACAGCTCCAGGCCTCATAAGATCAGTTTCAGCAACTGACATTGTAACAAATCAGATTGAGCAGCTGGTTGACCACAGCATCCCATATTGGAACACTTGTTCAAGTCCTGATGTTCTGCTTCCAATTCAGTTTCCTTTAATATGCCTGGGAAGGCAGCATATGAGAGAGAGCTCAGGTTCTTAGGACCCTGATAGGGTTCCTGGCTTCTGACTCCTGGCTCCAGCCATGTCCCATCTACTGTAAGGACCAGGGGAATGAAGCCGTGGATAGAAGATTGATCAATTTCTCTTTGTCTCTTCCACCTCTCCCCACACCTTCCCAACTCTACCATTTCCACAACCCACACCTTTCTGCCTTTCAAACAAATCAATTGGGAAGCCTGTAAAAACAAGCCTCAAGTTTTAAATTTACAGTTGTAGAGACCTAAAATCAAGAAGCTAAAATTTATAAAATTTTCAACTGTAGTAAGAAGAGAGGAGTGGGGACCTGAACCCCTCCTTAGGCCTTCCAGGGAACACAAGAAGCTAGTATTTAATGAAAAACCAGATCAACTCCCCAGGTAACAAAAAGGCCTAAGGGCACCAGATCCACAAATACCAAAGGCAGGGAAGGAAGGCGATGGCATGGGAACCAACTGCACCAAGCCAGAGCCCTGGGATATGACACACTCTGCACTGTAAGATGTTAGGATGGCTGCTGGTGCACATTTCAAGCCACCAGCAATGGCCTGCAAGACAAGAGGAAACAGACAAGATGGGGGGGCTGAAATTTTTCAGTCTGTAACCCATAAAAACTAATTTAAATGTATAAAACTCTGTGTGTTTGCATCTTGCTTGTTTCTGTTTCCCTCCCCATATTCCTGATAGTGAATGGATATTTCAATTCATTATATTCTGATATCCTTTGCTCCTCAATTCCTGATGTGGATTAGTTCCAGGAACCCCCCGACACTGCAATCTGTAGACATGTAAGTCACTGACATAACACGGCACTGATTCTGTATACACCCTGTGCATACCCTCCTATATACTTCCAATCATCTCTAGATTGGTACCTAATACAGTGCTGTAACACTGTACTGGTTAGGGGATAATGCAGGAAAAAAGTATTTACATGTTCAGCTCAGATGCCACCTCTGTGAACATTTTCAATATGTAGTTGGTTGACTCACAATGCCAAACCCACAGGCGGACACCATGCTATGTGGCAGAATGAATGTGAACAGTAACAGTCTATCGCTTGAAATTAAGTCATAGGGCCCCAACTGTGGGTAAAATGTAGGAAAGAATAGACTCAGTGCTGAGTTCTTGAGTTCAACCCATCCAATCTTCTTCACGAAACCGAGTCAGGTTCCAGACAGACTGAGACACAAACAAGAGCTCACAAACAAGTAGAGCAAGTTAAGAAACTCCTACCTTCACACAGACAACAGTGACAACACAATAAATGCAAAAGAATCTGTGCTCCTACGTAGTACATCCTAAGAGAAGAAACTTAAAGATGGGAAAGCAGCTGTGTGTCAGCGTTATCTCCAAAGACTGGTTTCTGTACTAATGTTTCTGTACACTGGGGTCACTTTAGAGCCGTGAAGTTCACCTTATCAGTTAAAAACATAACACAAATGGGCCGACTTCTAGAAGCATAACACTTCTTGCTGCCAGAAAGCAGGTACTAATCCATCTAGGCCGTCAATAGCAAGAGAAACTGGGACAACAACTGGGAAACTGCCACCCATCCTTTACATGCATTCGCCTTTGAATCAGGAATCCCCCACGAGATTCACTCATGCACACACTCACCAGCACATATATTGGGAATGTGCACTATATCTTAGTCTAGACCCTATTTTAAACAAAGTCACAGGAAAGACTGATGCAAGAAAGAATTAAACTGGAAAAAATGCATTGCTCGAGATAGCCAGACAATACAAATAACCTAGATAGCCATGACAATGGAGGTTAGTTAAGCAACTTACAGCACAAGCACACAGTGGAGTATCATGCAGCAGGGAAACACAATAAAATTGATCTCCAATAAAATCATGTGTTAAAAAAAAAACCCTACAGATTGTTCTGCGTGTGTGGTGTGTGTGCGTGTGCTTGTACACACATACGCTTGCTGGTGTGCATGACCTTTTTCTGAAAGAAGGCACAAGAACTGTTTAAGTGTTTACTTTCCAGGAGAAGAACAAGGAAGAACTTCCACGCCGTGCTTGCAAACATTCTCTTGTGCATGAAGATTCCAATCAAATGCATGCATTACCATTTTTCCTCTTCTTTACACATCTCTAAAGACCACTACTAATCCACCTAAAACAAGCTATTAAAAATTTTTAAGTTTAAAATCAGAAGTACTTTAATACAATTCCTATTTGAAAATTCAGGCCCTGGCTTTTAAAAAAATAAATCAATAACCCAGAAAAAAAAATCAATGACCCAGGAGCAGGCATTTGGCCCTGGGAAGCAGGATCCGAGCTAAGAGGGCGGCATCCCATGGCAGGGGATATCCCCTGGATTCCTGGCTGGTGCAGACCCCTGATTCCAACAACCAGACAACAGAGGCCCTGGGACACAGAGGCCCTGGGACACAGCAATCAGTGATGGCTCAATTCATGGGGTTCCCATTTCCAGTGTCCACACCTGGAGTAACTCCTAGCTCCTGGCTTCAGTCCTAGTTAGTACACTGTAGGTACTTGGGGAGCAAACCAGCAACCTGCAGTTTCTCCCCCTCCCCATCCCTTCCATTCCCCAACCTCCTCCTCCTCCTTCTGTCTCTCCTCTCCCTCTTCCTCATTCTCCTTGCCTGTATGTCTCTCAAATAAACTTAAAAATAAAGACCTATACAAATGTAATGATACCAGTGAGGTCAAGAGAAGGTTCATTTAAAATACAGTAACTTTAAAACATTTCACTAAAACCATATTTAAGACAAAAGTAAATCTTCGTTTTTTAACTTTTATAAGTTTTCAGCTTGCAACACCAGAAATACTCATAAGCAAATTATGAACTATTTCTTCAAATGACCAAGAAAAAAAAAAACACATTCACGGTGGTTAGCAAGTGGAGACAGTCTAGGCAGGAGTTACCTGGCACCATCACACTCTGCCCTAGTCAGAAGTTCTGTCCCCTCCCCCTCCATCTCCCAGGGCCACTGCACAAGCCCTGTCTCCACTCCATCCAATCCCATCTGTGCCCTAGATCTTTCTTGAGATGTCAGCTCCACGATCTCTTCTTTGGGTCCTTTCTATGAAACCCAATACCCACCATTTCCACTTTACACTGATGCTCATGTTTCCTTGGTTCCATCCATCTCCCACGATGGGCTGCGAGCCACACACACACACACACACACACACACACACACACACACAGAGGCAGTGTTTGCCTGTCCCCAACAGAAGACCCAGTACCCATCATGGGCATGTAATTCAGAGATCCTTGAGTGAATGCAGCCTACTTGTCGCATCCAGGCTGAGCTCAAACCCTCCAACGTTCTCTTCTTCACTGTCCACAGACCATGAGACACGGCTGTGTCTCCACACATGCATTTCCCCCCGCATCTCCGGCTCACCTCTACTTCATTCCCATCCTGGAACCAAAGTCATGTTAGAGGGGACCCTGTTGACCACCCCATCCCAGCCTCTGCTTAATCATGCTTTACTGTGAGGAGGCCTGCTTGACATCATGTTAGATGTTAAACCTGATCCTTCTTTTATGGTCTATTGCACCTAGTTGCACAATAAGCCCATGAGGACAGGGATTTTGCTTTGCCTGATACCATGTTCTTAGTCCCACAAGCACTGCAAACCCTTCCTCCCAGATACATACACAGAGATACCCACACCAACATCAACACAAAACAGAGAGGCGAAAAACCAGAGGAAGGGTTAAAGTCTACTCCTTTCCAATCTTAAAAACTGTAAGCATAACAAGCTCCTCATTGCATTCAGAGGGCGTCAACCATGTTTTATTTTCTTAGTAAATGAGTTAAATGAGTAAACATTTTCAAACCTCTAACAAAACAAATGACATTGACAACGAACTATAAACAAATGCGTGCATAACAGGCTCGCTCATCCTTTCATTCATAAAGTAAACAAAGCAAGGATGACTTTAAAAATAAAGATCTTATTCCAAGAGCAATAAACTTTATGCACTGCACTAAAACCTCCATGTGTTTAGCCTGGCATGTACTTGACAATTTAAAAAAAAAAGCCAGCAAGTACTTACCCATTCTTCTAAAATGCGTGACACCGCCTCACCGGCTCTTGCCATATTCCTACAGGCCAGGATCACGTGGGCACCATGGAGGGCAAAAGACTTGGCAGTTTCAAACCCTATGGTGTAAAGGAAAGTCAGTATTAAAAACAACATTGACACTCTGGGCTAGAGGGAGTGACCTTAGCTGAGCACACGTACCTCCCTCAAGTTGTTCTCAACAAGAGGGAACTTTACTCCCCATAGAGGACAGGCACAAATGTCTGGAGACATGCTATAAAATACCTTACAGAGCACAAGACAGTCCCTGGCAACCGAGCATCATGTGGCCCTGCAAGTCAAAGACGTGAGTCTGGGAAAACAACCTAGGGTCACAGTGATTGCTAACATGAAGAGGCAGGGTCAGGGGTGAGCTCACGGCATGGCTGGCCATTTCAGCATAAGTAATCACCAGCCCCTGTGCTAAACGGAAAGACCCGGGGACCAGGGCTGTGGCCTAGCAGGTGGAGGAGCTGTCTGCAGCACCAGCACCTAGGAAAGCAGATGAAAATGGCCCAAGTGCTTGAGCCCCTGAATCTACATGGAAGACCTGGGTGACATTCCTGGCTCCTGGCATCAGACCAGCTCAGCTTCAGCTGTTGTAGCCATTTGTGGAATGAACCAGTAGATGATCTCTCTCTCTCTCTCTCAATCAATCAATCAGTCTCTTTCTCTTCCTCCCTCCATCTTTCCCTCCCTCCCTATATTCTGTAATTCTACCTCTCAAATAAATCTTGAAAAAAAGGAAAGACTTACGCTCTACTCTCCAACACACACTTTCAGCTCTTCTAAAAAAGATACCTAGGTTTCTCAGAACCACCCTTCCACTGAGAACAAGTAGAAAAAGCCAGGCAAGAATAATTTATACACATATGCCATGTATATATACTCAACTCACAGAGATGCCATGATTGACAATTCTGGTAGTCAAGATCTGGAAAAGTTGAACTGTCAGAACTTGGCATCTCAAGGCATATTCAAGTTCCAAAGTAGTTGTTGAGAATGTGAGCTGAGTTTTCAGCATATTCACAAATGGAGAAAGACAAATTTGAGCTCAAGGTGAACCAAGGTGGTCCTGGCAAATATACAGAATTTTCTATTGAGATTCTAAAGGGTTGTGCCATCACAGGAAGAATTAGACTGGTCCAGTCTTCCCAAGAATGAAACCTAGCTACATGTCTTTCAGTTTCTGACTGCATTGCAGTGACTTGTCCCGACTGAGGAAAGAAACAGGACTTCAAAATCAAGCACCTCAGATGTGACAAGCATCCACTGCCAATCCCAGGTGGCTCCCTCAAGCTCCAAACCATCTGGGAGAAAGGAGCATTAATAATCACAAAAGAACACCGTTAGTGTCCTGTCTGGGACTTCCCCTACACTACTCGCACAAATGCACAGAATAGCCCCATATGAGCAACAGGTGACCTTTGTGGGTGGGAAAGCAGCAGTGAGCAACACAACCAGTTTGAGCACCATGTATGAAAGAGAGAGAAATGAACTTCTACAGGATACCAAGGCCAGGTGCAAACTAAGAGGCGTGGATGCAGGGGCTAAGCCAGAACTCCGGGCCAGTCGGCACTGAAGTGCCATGTGTGGAGGCAGACAGCACCTGTCTCAGCACCTGATGAAAATCCCTACCCAGCTCCACTCAAAGCTAGCTGGCAGAGCCTCCTGCCATCCTATCATCCTTGTGCTTGAGCAAATTCCTCCATGCAACACTGCTGGTTTGTAAGTTGATCTCTTCCCAATTTCTACTGTAAGGCAGTCAAAAGTCTCATGTTGGTATAACTATGTATCTAGTTGCCAGACACAGAAGAAAACACCGTACTACAAGGCAAGTGTAGTGGCACAGGGGGTTAAGCCATTACTTCTGGTGCTTACATCCTATATCTTGGTGCCCGAGATACAGTCCTGTAACAGCTACCTGCTAACATGCCATGCACAGATGGTGGCACTCAGTGCACTGCTCCCCAAGAGGGAGGCCCACACTTCAGAAAATATGTAAAGAACAAACTTTGAACAAACAAGCTGAGGGGATGTGTCTTTACCAAGACTTGAAATATTCAAGGAGACTCGCCAGGCATGAGGAAAAAGATACAAAGTGGAAATCCAGAGATTTTTTTTTGGTTATTTATTTATTTATCATCATCATCATTTTATGATACAGTTCTACAGGCCCCTGGGATTTCCCTTATCTCCTCCCCATTCCTCCCCCCGCCCCAACCGAGTTCCCCTATATCATTGCTAAAGTATAGTTCTTCGTACAGTCATATGTTCACTGTTGTGGGCATGGACACTGGCAGAGAGTCCAGCATCCTACTGTCATATAGTAAACACTTTCATTGGGAGTCCATCCAGAGATTTTTGCAAAAAGCAACAAACACCAACACAAAGATCAGAAAAGCCTAAATGATAGTAATAGTGTTTTGTGAGTTTTAAAATATGTAGCAAGAATTACCATTAACAATAACACACAACCCGTGGGCAACAAGAACATGCAAACTCTAAGGTGAACAAGTGAGATCAAAGTGTTTTAGGCCCCTCAGGAACTGATACAACACTACTTTTTAGAGACTTTATTAAATCAAAGGTCCAAACTGTATTCTCAATGAATTTAACAAACTAATGGAGAAGCAGAATTAAAAAAAAAAAGAAAGAAAAAAAGAAAGGAGAGAAGAATAAAGGACAAGTTAAATAGACAGCCAATTATGAGGGGGTATATTCCAACCCAAATACATTTATAATTACATTAAATATAAACTAAAGACTACCATTAAAACACAAACATCTTAATACACACATGCAATATGTTCCTTACAAATAATGTGTATTAATCTTTGTAATCTTAAACACAGGATTTAAAAAGCCAGGAAAACGGAAAGGCATATCCTATAGGACATATGCCCAGAGAAATCTTGTATAGCTACACAAATGTCAAGAAAAGCAGACTTTAAATCATGAAGCAATATAAGAGAAAAAGCTGACTATATCCATAATAGTACATTTCAATCCATCATGAATATATGGCACTTCTAAATTTATATGTATCTAATAATAGAGTCTCATACATATATGATTAAAATTGACAGAATTAGGAGAAGAAATTTACAATCATGGCAGAAGATTTTAACCTATCCCTCTCTAACAGGTAGAATATGCAAATTAAAAGTACATAGATGGGCCCAGCATGGTAGCCTAGCAGCTAAACTCTTCACCTTGAATGCACCAGGATCCCATATAAGTGCCAGTTCTAATCCTGGCAGCCCTGTTTCCCATCCAGCTACCTGTTTGTGGCCTGGGAAAGCAGTCAACGATGGGCCAAGACAATGGGACCCTGCACCCGTGTGGGAGACCCAGTGTAGGCTCCAGGCTCCTGGCTTCAGATGGGCTCAGCTGTGGCCATTGCAGCCACTCGGGCAGTGAGTCAGCAAATAGAAGATTTTCCTCTCTGTCTGTCTCTCTCCTCTCTGTATATCTGACTTTCCAATAAAAACAAATAAATCTTTTTTTAAAGTACATGGAAGTCTTGAAAACTATTATTGATAAGCTGGTAATAATTGAATATGCTAAACATTCAACATAACAGCAAGCCACATATTCAAGCACTTAAGATTATCTACAAGGTTTAATACGTGCAGAGCCAAAAACAGGTGTGAAGAAAATTAAACTTGGAAGCATGCTCTGTGATCACAAAGAAATTAAATTAGAAATCAGTAAGACACAAGAAAAATTCTTATAGAAGTATTTTTTGCATAAACAAAAAAATTAGACTCAAAAACTGCAATAAAAGCTACAAAACATTTTCATTAAAATAAACTTAAATGTTTGACAGACCAAAACGTAGAGAACATAGCTACGTCATGGTTGATGGTGATCTGGGGCGTTAACGACATACAAGGAAGGTGAGGACAGGTCACGCAACATGTGAGTAGAGTAGGCATGGATTTCCATGGGAAGAGTGGAAACTGGCAGAGTCGAAATGGGAAACAGGATAGAGGTTCCTCCAAGAACAAACCAGCCTAGGACCTGGGAGTCCTGGCTCTGAGAATAATCCAAAGGAACTGAAACCATGCTCTGAATGAAACAGCTGCACTTGTGAGGTGATTGCAGCATCATACACAACAACCAAGACATGGAAGAAACCTAAACGTCCACTTTCACACAGAAAAGGACAAAGAGGCACAGGTGCATGGTGGAAGATGCTGCAGTCCCGGAGGGAAGAAAAGCCCTATCACTTGGCAGTAACATGAGTGAAGCTGAAGAACTGCGCAAAGTGCAGCAAGCCAAACACAGAAGGACGAGCACTGCCTAGTGCCACCTAACATGAAGAATCTCAACCCAACTCAGGTAAGCAGAGAGAACAGGGCTTGCCAGGGGCTGAGGACAGGAGAAACAGGGAATTGTCGGAGGATGCAAAGTTTCATGAACACAAGGTGAAGAAAGTAAAGACATTCATCATAACACATAGTGACCATAGCTAATACTGCACTGTGTATTTAATATTTTTAAATGGTCATGCTCTCACCGAAAATGCTCTTGTTACACATACAGATACCCCATGCAGATGGGGTGAGGGCAGAACCCTCACTCTGGCTGCATGCCCAGCCCAAGCCTGAAGGGTGAACGCAGAGCCATCCCCAGGGGTGAGAACGTATTTCTGGAGCACGTCACCACCCACGTGTGGTCACTCAGTACGAGCTTGAACATCACATCTTCCAAGAGGGGCTGGCCCGGAAGTGTCTTCACCTACAAGGAAGAGCATTTGGCCGGTCCCACAGAAACTGACATTGGACCCAATTCTGGACCTCTCTCTCGCTTGCTCTCTCCTGGTTCACCTTTGCAATATTAGAAATCTTTCTTGTCTTTCCCCATCTGTCTCCTCCTCTTAATCTCTGAGATTTAACCAAAATATATACTTCTGAAAAATTAAAAACAGAACAAAAATACCCCATACAATGTAGTAATGATGACCAGGGTGAGTGTTGGCTAGTAGTTAAAATGCCAATGGGCACAACACATGTGCCTCTGCTCAGGTCCCACTTACTCCATGTTCCCAGGAAGCAGCAGGTTCGTGCCTAGG